CAAGTCTCAGAACATAGGAAACACTTACGCCGGGTGCCTGCTGTGGTGTCTGGGCACGGCGTGGTATGAACGTCCACCCGAGTCAAGCCGAGGCTCAGGGAGGCCCAACTGTGCTGGTTCCAGGCAGCACTCAGGGTGACTGGCTTTGCTCGCGTGAGTGTGAGTTACCTTTGTCCTGGAGGACACACGTGCCAAGATGCCTCAAGCTACTTTAAAACTAAAGGTAATATCATTGAGGATTTTTTGGAATCCATAAATGTAATAAGAAAGGAAATTCGAGTCATTCTTGGCCACTGTATAATCATGATTAGAATTGATTTTTGTTTTTTATATTTGTCAAATGCCTCTTTTGCCCATGAGTCAGACCCCATCCTCTAAGACAATGTGAATAAGTAAATGCAAATCCATGTAAAGCTTTGTTCCTCAAATCTGTGTGGCTTTTTTAGAAAACACACAATTGGCAGGTGGATGACACTGACCGGTGGAAAACGTGGCCGTCCGGAATGTCCAGAAACCATCGCTCAGCTTCATAGAGTGATGCAACCTTGAGTCTTCTCTCAAATCCCAGACGACGACTGAGCCGTGCGCTGTTCCGGCAAACAGTAAAAATGCTTTGAATGGGCTCAAGCAGCAACATGTGACCTAAAAGACAAATGCACAGAAAGCCAATGACTGAAGAATATGAGAAGCATGCTCACAGAAGCTGCATTTACTGAGTGAGGTGTCTGACCATGTTTCACTTTGCACGGGAGTCACGTGCAGGACACGGTAAGCAGAACGTGAACTCCCACACAGAAATAAAAGGTGGCTTGTCAGGTTCCTGAAATAACAGGGATGAGAAACCAACCCCGTAGGCTTGTTATGATCACAAATGCAAGGTGCTGACACTCATCTGGTCACACAAAGCCTGTCAGGAGCCCATCCACTCAACTCAATCAGCTGAACCTCAAAAAAGTAGCAGTTCCATCCTGCACCGTTTTATTTACATCTTGTATTACAAAAGTTACAATTTCAACAGTTTTTCTACAATTTTTGTGGAAATCAATGGTTTTGAGGCCAGGGAATACATAACTAGGAAAATACAAATGCACATTTTCCCAAACATAGAGAGGCAGCCCCGACCCCTCACTGCACAGTTCTCAAGTCTCAGTGCCAGCCTCCTAGGCGGTGAATGGGAAGCCTCCGGAAGGACTCTGAGCGACAGCACACTTCAACACAGTCTAAGAAACCTCAACGCAGTCTGAGAAACCTCTGAAACACTCAGGACCGAAACAGTGCAAGACAGAAAAACAGGCATCGAGGGCCCCAGAGCTATGCCGAGCGTGGCCAGTATTTTCATTCAGCCTATAACTACCTCCATTTCCTAATTCTCAGCTGACCTAAAGGGGTGCTCTGTGAAAATTCTCGTTTGCTCATTTTGAACTACGAATTTCCAGAGTCAAAACAAGCACACCCACGCGTCTCACTGCACCCACAGCACAGCTGAAGCCAGCTGTGACAGGCAGAGAATGGCCCGTAAGTTCCTACCCACCTCCTGTCCCTGCGCCTCTCCCCATGCCTGCACCTTCACGCTCTGTCCACCGCCCATCCTCCCATCAAATGCGCGACTCTCCTCCTGAGCTGTACCTGGGACTCACATATCAGAACCTTCTGTGGCCCTGAAGGCTGCCAAATATCCCACACACAGAGGACGTATTTGCTGTCCAGCAGGGGCACAAAGGCCTTCTCGGGTAAGTCGTGAACGGAGACCACCATCTGCCTCTGAACTCGGGAGGCGTGCAAGGAGGATACTTTTCGATCTAGGGAGAAGAAAAATATGTTCACATTTTAGTGAGCTAAATTAACACACTTCCGAATACTCAAAAAAAAAAAATTCAGCTTCATGAAGAAACAAACATGGTCCTTTCAAAACCAACATACATGAAACATAGGTTTTGATGAATGGCCACAGCCTATGCCCGAACACCCTGTCCAAGCTGACCTCACAGTCTGGCTAAAACGCGGTAGCATGCAGCCCAGGACACCTGTGGCTCCACTAACGACTCACACAGAAACCAGCTGCCACCACATGCCAGCAGTCAGGGTCTCAGAGCTGGGAGGCACTGGAGTGAGCCTGGCCACCCCTCTGCTTCAGAACATTGCTAATACACCAGCTGCAGGGGTTTCAGCACTGGAACACCACGTGGCACACTGCTCTCCTCAAAGGCTGCGTGGGGCTGAGCACCGTTCCAGACACTGCTCTGCCTGGCGAGGGACTGCACTCCAAGGCATTACTGTTGCCACTGCTGGCCGTGCCAGCGGCTCCCACACGTCGGCAGAAGATGGAGATGGAGCTCATGAAACAGAAGGATGGGAAGTGCACGACTGGCGATAACTTCAGTGAAAGAACCGGACCGCGCCACTGGCAGGCGCCAAGTCAATGTGGAAAGCAGTACCCGGTCAACCCCGGCCACACGTACACGCCACAAACCTCTCAGCCCCACAGTTCACATCCTGCTACCCACACCGTCCACACCTGGGTCACGACGTCCCCTCCGATTCCAGGGAACCCTCTTTCTACCTCATCACAATCGCTCATAGCTGCAGCCTTCTGGGGCCACTTCCACCAGCAAGCGTCAGGTCTTCTTCCAGGTGCCGTATTCAATAGATGTTTTTAGTGGGATGAGGTTCTCGAGTGCTGTGACCTGACCCCGTTTTCTCCTAAGCCCTCTGGTTTTTATTGGCAATCTTCCACAGGGTAGAGACTTTTAGGAACGTGTACCTCCTGTTACAGCAGAACTATGATGGCAACCAAGGCCTGACCCATCGCTGCCCCGACCTCACCTCCCG